CGTCCGTGGTTACGGAAAGCCCTCGCCTCCAAACTGCAGTCCCGCATTCAATTCTGCAGCCTCAGGGCCTGGAACAGCCATGCTTAGAACCCATCCTTCCTTCCTGCTCCATCCACCCTTCCCCTCTGGCTTCTGTTTTTTTTCACTGGAGAAAGCCCACCCGAGTCTCTCAGCCTGCTTCGGAGGTTACTGCGGCCTCCTCCACCGGTAGTTCTGGGACCTGGGTCTAGTCCTCAGTTCCAGAGCAGGTCCTTCCCTGGAGTCGTCAGGCCCAGTACGCGTGTGCTCGGTGTGCTCGGGAAACGCGTGGCAGCTTTAACAGCAGATCTCCATAAAAAGGTCCCGGAGATAGGCTCTTCCTGGCCTGAGGTCCAGCGCCTCAAAGCGGAAGCCTTTGCGCTCCCCGAGGTGCTCACACCACAGCGGAGCCTGCTGGCTAGTGGAGCGTAGGACTGCGAACCAGCAATCGCCCGAGAAGCGGCGAGGGGGAGGGGAATGTCTTCGAACCGGTTATCCCTCCCACCCCCAGCAGAAGTCGGGGAAATGGGGATGGAAGGGGGAAAAAAGGAGAAAACAGGAGTGGGGTTGAGGAAGGGTAAGGAGGACGGCGAGCTTCCTACAGTTGCGGGGGGAGGTGGAGAAATTTTTCAGGGGGACAGCTGAGTGGTAGAGCTAGCGAGCTTCAGGGAAATGTTGACAGACGGATGCCCAGAAAGTGAGGATGCCGGGCATGGGCACTGAGTACTAGACACAGGAGATATATGGAGGCAGGAAATTGGCACATCAGAAGCATTTGACCTTCCTCCCTAAAACACAAATTGAACAACAACAAAAGATAATAGCGAAAGTGGCACAGTAGTGAGCTCGTAGGGCCCATTCCTATACAGAAACACAGAAAAATAAGCAAAAGCTGCCAGAATTGACTTCGTGGGAACTCAGGGAAACAGTAAGAAACTTTACAGCAACCAAGGGAGTGCTGAACCCAGACAAACGTAATTGAAACACAATGATAGGGAAGAGGGGCAGGAAAGTGTTGGGTAGACAAAGACGGGTCCCTGGTAAGGGCCCTCCCCTGGGCCTATGCCCACTGGACCTAGGTGAGGACAGGCACTCCTTCCTTCATGCCAAATGTTGCATATCCCAAGACCACCCTGTCCCGCCACGCTCCCATCCTTTGCCTATGAAAACCCTGAGACCCTAGCAGGCAGACACACAAGCGGCAGTACGTCCAGAGGAACTCATCGGAGGAACTGGACGTGGAGCTGGGCACCCCAGGGGCAGGGAGCACGCCAGTGGAAGAGCACACCGACAGACCATAGGAGTCGGTCTGTTATGTTATCATAGTATAATAATATTATAAAATTATGTTATAATACAATAAAGTATAAAAATATAAATAATAATGTAATAAATAGAAATAAAATAATAATTACATATTTGTATTTATATGAGAACACTATGAATAAATTTAAGCCAAAAAAACAACTCGATGTTCATCACTGGATGAGTAGATGAGCAATTTCCAGTACATTCATGCAATGGAATATGATTCAGCCATAAAATGAAATGAAGTACTGATACATGCTGCTGCAGGAATGAACTCCTCAAACACTACACTTGATGAAAGAAGCCAGACACGGAAGGTCACATATTGTATGATCCCATTTATAAGAAATATTCAGAATAGAGACAAAAGGAGATTTGTAGTTGCCAGGGGCTGGAGGCAAGAAGGGTTTAACAGGTATGCTTAACGGGGCCTCCTACGCAGTTGACGAAAATGTTTCGGGCTACATAAGTGATGGTTGCATAACATTGTTCTAAATGCCACTGAATTCTACTCTTTAAAAGTTTTAGTTTTATGTTATGTGGCGTGTACCTAAAAAAAAAAAAAAAAAAAAAAAAGAGGCGCGGTGCTCCAGCCTGGGATGAGGCAGCGTAGACAGGAGCATCTCCCAACCCCAGTGAAGTCTGAGCCGCGTGCCTGCAACAATCCCACTGTGGCAGAGAACCGCAGAGTTCCTTCCGGTTTGGCGGCAGTCATTGCAACCTCACATCCCTCTGGAACCGGGGAGCCAAGTCGGATTCCGAGACTGTGGGCCAGGTTTAGCCGGATTCAGTTACCTGGCTGAGGCCTAGTGAGCAAAATATCCCAGACCTCGCGTGATTTGGAACCGGAAGTCGGATAAATACGGATCTCCAGATGTGCTAGTCTACCGATATGAGGTCGCCCTAGAGTTTCTATTCACCATTTTAACAGCATTTCATCCATCTTGAGACACGCTTTTTGATATTTTATCATCTCAAGATAGTGTTGGATGTCTAACAGCAGCGTTTTTCTAAGAGATACATGAAACAACAGTGTCAGAAACGATGCTGTATTCCATGCAATTAAATTGTTGTAATAGGTGCTCAATAAATGTTGATAATATATAAGTGAATGAATGAAAATTATTTTATTTTTATTTGAGCTTTGGTTCTGCCATTTGCTAGCAATGTGACTCAAGAGAAGCCAGTAACCCCTCTGAGCTTGCCTAGTTCACAAAAGCCTGTAATGATGTCGACAGCTTCCTCAGGCTGGGAGGCTCGCAAGAAGTGCTCACATAAATGTGCGCTTAGGACGTGAGTACTCACTCCCGAAAACTCCAACACAGTGAAAAGGCAGAAGCGGTGTTTTTCTTTTTTACATTTTTATAACAATATATAAAAGATGACACAAATGGAAATTTACGGTAGTGGGGGAAGGCGTATATCTACTTCAAAAGGCAGGTCATTTTTAAAAGCTCTATTTTCTAAATTAAAACTACGAAAGCGGGGTGGGTTGTGGTGGGGGCAGTTGTAGCCCTGTAGGACCTTCGGTGATTGATGATCTAAGTTTCCGGAGGTGTCTCAGAGCCTCGGTAGATCTTTCAATCGGGGATGCCTGCGGAGGGCAGAAAGAAAACAGGCGTTAGAAACCGGAGGTCAAAGATATGTGGCGCATCCCGCCCTCCTCTCTTGCCGTCCCTACCGGCATTGAAGTACTTATGGACAAGGTTCTCGCAATGGCTTCACGTGCATGTACCCGCCGCCACCGCTCTCCCACACCTTCCTGGTCCAGCAGCGAGTCCACTGCCCGCCTGGCTGCTCCAGGCGCGCCGACCGCTCAAGCGCTCCAGGTCCGCCCGGTCGAGGGCAGAGAAAGCGCGACCGCCCGGCCCGCGGGGTTGCAAGAAGAAAACGAGTGTTATGTAATGAGTGTCAGTGGTTGCTCACCATGCAAAGGCGAGAAGATGTGGCCTTTCCCTTCCCGCCTTCCCAGGCATCTTTTGCACCTGGTGCGGAATGAGCCAGCCAGCTAGCGATAACCAAAGGGCGCCTCAGGCTCTGGCGTTCCTCGGCTGAATCCCGTAGCTTCCCTACGCATGCCTGCTTCTACAAACCCACAAATGGTTTCCTATCATTTCTGAAACAAAATGGATGCTCATTTATTCATATGATTTGGCTTCTGCCTTTCTCTCTAATCTCGTTGTGTACGGGCTCCAGCTTGCTGTTTGGTTCTCCCGAGGCAGCATTTACACTTGAGAGTCTCAAGTTTATTTTATTCCTGGGGCAGCATTTGCACTTGAGAGTTTCTTTTTATGTTTATTCCTGAGGCAGCATTTGCACTTGAGAGTTTCTTCCTCCCTAGCTTTCATTAGATTCTCCAACCACTCTTTATTTTCTCCTCCTATTCACACTTCATATTTACCCATTGCATTGGTTTTATAAACTGGCTCTCTGAAAATAGGTTGTTATCTTGCTTAACGTCTATTTCCCAGGTCGGCCATGATAGCTTGGGACTGTAATCCCAGTACTTCAGGAGGAGGAGGAGGGAGGATCGCTTGAGCCCAGACAACAGGGTGAACCCTCGTCTCTATTAACAACAACAACAACAACAAAAACAAACAAAAACAGGCATCGTGGCGCGCACCTGTGGTCCCAGCTAGTCTGGAGACTGAGGTGGGAGAACCCCTTTAGCCAGGGAGGTTGAGGCTGCAGTGAGCTGTGATCGCGTCATGCACTCCAGGCTGCGGGCAATAGATCGACCCTGTCTCCAAATGTAAACCCCATGAGGGCAAGACTCTTGTTTGGTCTCATTCACCTTGGCGTGCCCACCACCTAGAACAGGGCTGATCACGCAGTAGAATCTAGCCATGTAATTAATTGTGCTTGAAGAGGGGGTGTTGGGGAGTAAGAGAAGGAAGGGAGGAAGGAAGAAATGAAAGACTTGTGTGCTTGGATTAAATATCTTCGGTTTGGTTGAGTCGTTCAATTTATTCATTTGCTTGTGGCCCAATTCGATAGTTTTACTCCCTCTCCCACTTGGCTCCTCCAGCTTTTCGCTCAGCCCTGGAACCGCGCTGTAATTGGCAACTCCTTCTATATCGGGACCGGATGCTAGTTGTAACTGGAGGCGAAGTCTCCTTCTTCACCGGGACTCGGATGCTAGCTGTAACTGGAGGGAATTGGTGGGGAGCAGAGGCCGAGTAAAGAAGAACTTCGCGTCTTTAACTTCGAAGGTGATTTCGCGTTCTGTATTTACAGCATCTCCAAGCAGAGGGCTTAGAGCTAACTCTCCACCCCGTCCTCTCCGGCTCCCCTATGGCCCAGGGAGCCCAGTGCCCCGTTCTAAGCCAAAATAAGAAGGATTTCAGAATCTTCAAGGTCATGTTTTACCTTAAATATTCGTGTTAATTCCCATGTATTGCTTCATATATCTTTTTTTTTTTTTTTAAAGGTGTTCCTCCTCTAGAAACAATTGAGTAATGTTGGCACTTTCAGCAGACAGCTGTGGGGGTAAGGAACTGGGGTCATGGAATGGGGGCGGAGGGAGGATGTTTTGAGATCGCAAAAAGGAAAGGCAAGGGCAAGGAGGACCACAATTCTATCTTCATCTCTCAGTGATCTCTTGCACAAGTTTAAGAGGGAAAGGAGAGGGCCTCTGTCTGCCACAGAGTGCTGCAAATTCCGGTGCACAGACTGCCAGGGTCAGCGAAGTCTTGGTCCTATTGCCCTCAGAATCCCCTGGGGCAGCTCTGAAAAACTCTACCGCATAAAGCGAAGGGTCAGATTAGTTGAGTTGTGCAGAAGAGCCGAGATTGAGAGATCTCCAGATGATGCCACGCATAATTGGGTTTGGAAATCCTGGGGTTGGTCCAGCCAGCTTGGTATGCAAATGAGGAAACACACCTGGTAAGTGGATGCAACTGGCCCTAGTTTGGAGGAAGACGGGGCACTAGACCTCTAGCCTCTTGAGTCTTCATTGCTCCGCAGTCTAGGCCTTGAACTAGGAGAGGGTAGGTATGCTTTGGGAAGTATAATGTACAGAATGGGCTTTCACGTGCGCAAGTTCATGTCGGGATTATTTCCCATTTGCTGCCCTGGCGGGGAAGAGCGATCGGGAGACTCAGGCCCTCCCATGGATTGGCACGTGAGCTGAGGCAAGACCCGAGACTGGTCTCCCGGGCTGAACTTTCTGTGCTGGAAAATGAATGGTCTGGGCTTTGGAAGCTCTCCGGGTACAAATCCTTAGATCATCAGTCCTCACCTGAGGGACCTTCCGCGGCATCTATGCGGGCATGGCTACTGCCTCTGGTGCCCCCCGCAGCCTCGCGCAGGTACCGTGCGACATCGCGATGGCCCTGCTCCTCAGCCAGGTCCACGGGCAGACGGCCCCAGGCATCGTGTACGTCCAGCCGCGCCCCAGCCCGGTGCAGCACCGCCAGCGTGTCCAGGAAGCCCTCCCGGGCAGCGTCGTGCACGGGTCGGGTGAGAGTGGCGGGGTCGGCGCAGTTGGGCTCTGCGCCGTGGAGCAGCAGCAGCTCCGCCACGCGGGCGCTGCCCATCATCATGACCTGCCAGAGAGAGCAGAGTGGTCAGAGCCAGGGTAGGGGCCGGCATGATGGAAAGGAAGCTTGTGTGAAGCCCCCTCACCGCCAAGCAGACACCCACACAAGCCACAGGTGTCTAATTACCCCTACATTTGCTTCCAATTTCCAATTTCCTTCTCGAGTTCTCTATCCATTCTTCAGTACACATTGAATTCCAATATAACCTCCGAACTTCTGCGGAGCTGTCGCCACAGGCAGAGAGCACTGTGAGGCACGGGCAAAATAGCAAAGGGGCAGGGACAAACTGACTTTTACTCCAGTCTAACTTCCTGTATTTCCCTTGAGATAAAACTACTGAAATTTCTTCCTGAAATTATGTTAGGCCTGGAGATTTTTTTTTTTTGGTTCCCTGCTGTATATCCAAGCGCAGAATGTGGTAATTGTTAAAAAGAGAAAACTTGTTTGTTTGTTTTTTTAAACAAATTCTCACAAAACTTTTAAGTTACCCTTAGTTTCTGGGAACGTTGAACTTAAATTTCTTTTTCATTAAATTAGTTTTAAAATTACATATTGGCATAGTACAGTTGTATATATTTATGTGGTACAATATGAAGTTATGATCTTTGAACACAATGTGGAATTAAGTCAAGCTAATTAACCCATCCATCATCTCAAATATTTGATATTTTTGTCAAATGAGAGCATTTGGGATTTACTCTTTAGCTATATTTATCATGCTGTGAAACACATCTCAAAAAAAATCAAACTTATTTCTTCCATCTTAACTGAGGCTTTGTATCTTGATTACCACTCCCCATTCCTCCCACCGCCCCCCCCCAGCTCCAGCAACCACCATTCTACTCTTTACTGCTAAGAATGTAATTGTTTTATATTTCACAGATAAGTGAGAACATGTGATATTTGTCTTTCTGTGTTTGGCTTATTTCATTTAGCATAATGCTCTCCAATTCCAAAAATTCAATTTCTTCAAGTATAAAATAAGAAGGCTAGACTAACTAGCCCTAAAATTCCTTCCTGTGGTAGGTTGAATAAGGTCCCCCCCCCCAAATGTCTATGTCCTGATCCTCAAAAACTGTTAATTTATTAACTTATGTGGCAAAAGAGGCTTTGCAGATGTGATTTAAGTAATGGTCTTGAGGGAGATTATCCAGAATTTTCAGGGTGGGCCCAATAGAACCCCAAGTGTTTTTATTAGAGGGTCACAGTCAGAGAGAAGATAAAAGAGTGGAAGCACAGGCCACAGAGAAAATACAGGGACTATGAGCCAAGGAATTTGATGGTCACTAGAAGCTGGAAAAGACAAGGAAACAGATTGTCCCTTAGAGTTTCCCAAAGTGGACCCATTTTTGACTTCTGATCTCTAGAACTGTACTGTAAAATAATAATTTTGTTTGTTTTAGCTAACACATTTGTGATAATTTGTAACAGCAGCAATAGGAAACGAAAAGGCTTCCCAGGTTTATGATTTGAGAGTTCATTAAACAAGAGATGGTCACCTTTTTGGTTCCTAAATCATCTTGGAAACAAAGCCATTTCCAGAGAGGAATTTTAAAATACTGTCTCCACTCATAGCAACCTTAAAATCTGAGTGTTGCATTGTGGAAATAGACAATTTATTTTAGGATAACTGTTATTTTTTATATTAGCTTGAGGATGGTTGTGTTAAAGAGGAATTACTTATTTTTAGGTACATTTCATACTAAACACAAATTGCATAATTTGCCTAAATCAAGGAATTATACTAAATTATATTATGGTTATTAAATCCTGTCCTGAGAAAGTGAAACTGACTTAGTTTTCAAAGAGACAAAGAGAAAGTATAAGCAAACCAAATTGCAGCTACAAAAAGAAAGACAAAATGTTGCAGCATATTTATTGTTCCGTGTGTTCACTGAAGTTCTCTTCGTCTTGGTCATAAAACTAGCCTTAAAGGTTTTTATTATATTTCATAGAATGAAAAACCTAAAAAGTAACCCATATGTAAATATTTAAATCACGATAGAAATCCAAAGCAAAAAGAAAATGAATTCATTGAATTAAAATGTGTAGGATGCTTAAACCCATTTGATAATAAATTGATATGAATTTAGCATTTAAAAATATTATACAAATAAGTGTTCCTATATTAAACACCAATGTAGTTAGGATTCTAAGCCAACAACACTTCCCCTTTTCTACATGTTCTTCTCCCTTCCCCATTAAAAATTGTCAAAACTATCCACTTTTCTTTTTCCTTTTTGTTTTTAAACAAATAAGGTCTCTTCTAAGATATTTTAGGACTACAAAGCCAAATTCCCGGGTCCAAGCTGTTGGCAAAATTTTAGAGATGCTAAGTTACCCATGCATTAATTACTTTTAAATCATCCCCTAACTCCCTCACAAAACCGGAGTAGGGAGAGGAGAAACACCACTGTTCAAAAATGAGGAATTGAAAACTCTATCACAAAATAAACTATTATCAAGTAAGCTAAAGATAGCAAAACAGTAAAAATATTAGCAGATATTCCCAAAATGGTGACTACATATTACTTCTGGCACGATCACATGAATGTAGCTCATTATTTCCTAAGTTCCTACAGCAAACATGTATTTATTTGCCCTACTCAGTTAAAAATAAACACAATATGTAGTTGCTTCTGAATGCTTTTTTTATCTCTCTCTTTCTCTCTCTCTCTCTTTCTTTCTTTCGACAGTCTCACTCTGTCACCCAGGCTGGAGTGAAGTGGCTCCCTCTCGCTGTTCACTGCAACCTCAGCCTCCCAGGTTCAAGCGATTCTCCTGCCTCAACCTCCCGAGTAGCTGGGATACAGGCGCCTGTCACCACCCCCGGCTAAGTTTTGTATTTTTAGTAGAGGCGGGGTTTCACCTGTTGGCCAGGCTGGTCTCGAACTCTCAGGTGATCCCCCCGCTCCTTGAGCTCCCAAAGTGATGGGATTATAAGGCGTGAGGCACTGCGCCCGGCAGCTTCTGAATAATTTCGATCAGAAATTTATATTCGATATTTATTCCAACATACACCACAGATTTCCACTGATAATCCCTACTAGTAAGAAAGATAAACTCCATCCAGGCATCTGTGAATTGGGGGCTAAGTAGTCCCAGCACATCTTACATTTCTTTAAGACTCCCGTTTTATCTCAAACCTTCGTAAGTTTTGTATCTGATAGAGCATACTTCCATCTAATACAAATATGTTCCCCCCTTCAGATCTTCACAGCATTCGAGAGATCTGCACGCGCGTGCCTCCTCATTCCTTCCTTGGCTTCCCAAGCCCCCAGGGCTTCGCCAGGAGGAGGTCTGTGATTACAAACCCCTTCTGAAAACTCCCCAGGATGCCCTTTTTTCCAGTCTCAAAGTGCTACCTGATTCCGACTCCCCTGCAAACTTCGTCCTCCAGAGTCGCCCGCCATCCCCTGCTCCCGCTGCACACCCTCCACCCACCTGGATCGGCCTCCGACCGTAACTATTCGGTGCGTTGGGCAGCGCCCCCGCCTCGAGCAGCGCCCGCACCTCCTCTACCCGACCCCGGGCCGCAGCCGTGGCCAGCCAGTTCGCCGAAGGCTCCATGCTGCTCCCGGCTGCTCGCTCCCTGCTCTCCCACTCTCCGCAGCGGCCAAGTGCACGCGGCCGCCCCACCCTCTGGTGACCAGCCAGCCCCTCCTCTTTGTTCCTCCGGTGCTGGCGGAAGAGCCCCCTCGGACTCTGTCCCTCAACTCCTCTGGAGGGATCGCGGTATCTTTCCAGGCAGGGGGGTGCCGTTCGCGAGTGCTTGGAGGAGGTGCTATTAACTCCGAGCACGTAGAGAATGTGGCACCCCTGAAGTCGCCTCAGGGTGGGCCTCCCCCGGGGGCACCAGCCGGAAGCAGCCCCCGCCAGAGCCAGCGTTGGCAAGGAAGGAGAACTGGGCTCCTCCTCCTCACCTGCCCCCAACACCGCCCTCCGGCCTCCCTGCTCCCAGCCGCGCTCCCCCGCCTGCCAGCAAAGGCGCGTTCGAGTGCATTCACTCGGTTAAAAAGAAAAAAAGAAATCCCCCCGCCCCCCGCCCCGTTTCCTTCCTCCGCGGTACAATCTTCCTAACTGCCAAATTGAATCGGGGTGTTTGGTGTCATAAGGAAAGTATGGCTTCTTCTTTTAATCATAAGAAAAAGCAAAACTATTCCTTCCTAGTTGTGAGAGCCCCACCGAGAATCGAAATCACCTGTACGACTAGAAAGTGTCCCCCTACCCCCTCAACCCTTGATTTTCGAGAGCGCAGGGTTCACTAAGTCAGAAATCCTAGTTCAAAGGATTCCTTTTGGAGAGTTGGCCTACCCTCTCCTTCTCCACCCCTTCCCCTCCTACGTGTAAAATGGCTGTCTGGGGCAAGGGTTTCTCAGACGTGTACATTGCCTGGTATAACAGCAGACTCTGAAAAGATGAGGTTTATTTAATACGGGGGAGATTTCTGCCTGTAGGCAGATAGGAAAATGGAGATGGAGTCATTGGAAGGACGGACTACATTCTCAAAGTCATAATTCCTAGACCAGAAAAAGTGCTCAGTGTTCTAGAGGCAGAGTTGCACAGTGATCCAAAGACCCGCTTTACACATTGTCCTATCTCCTACACACTCCTCACATTTCTCTTTCCTACTGAAAATACCTTGCATTTTTCTTAGTTATAAAGGGAGAAGGGAATATGAGTACCCCCTGCTTTACAGGGGTTGTTGTGAGTTTAAATGAATTGTTGTATATTAATACATATAAGCCTTAAGAACACTGCCACACATCCTAAACTAATACCTGTTAGCTCTTGAATTATCCGTTTTGAGGATTGGCTTGCAATCTTGTTTTGAGGCATAGAAAGAAAATGCTTTGGAGCCGGACGCGGTGGTTCACGCCTGTAATCCCAGCACTTTGGGAAGTTGAGGCGGGCAGATACCTGAGGTCAGGAGTTCGAGGCCAGCTTTGGCCGTCTCTACTAAAAATACAAAACTTAGCCGGGCGTGGTGGCGCACGTGTGTAATTCCAGCTACTCAGGAGGCTGAGGCAGGAGAATCGCTGGAACCCAGGTGGTAGAGGTTGCCGTGAGCCGAGATCGCGCCACCGCCTTCCAGCCTGGGTGACAGAATGAGACTCCCATTCAAAAAAAAAAAAAAAAAAATTACTGGCTGGATGTGGTGGGGCATGCCTATAATCCCAGCACTTTGGGAGGCTGAGGCGGGAGGATCGCTTGAGACCTGGAGTTTGGGACCAGCCTGGTCAACACAGCAAGTCCTCATCTTTACAAAAACTAAAAATAAAAATTAGCCA